GGGGGTCAGTGTCAAGTGGCATACCCAGACCAATAATGGTCTATATTGAATGCAACCATCACTAAATTGTTGATGGAAACCTTAGAAAAAATGTTACTTTTATAAGAAACTTCCTCTAAATAGCTATTTGAAAAACATGCACCAAATGTAATGTTTAGTTATTCAGTAGGGAAACTGAAACTTTACTAATTATTATGTAACTTAATTAATATGCACAGATTTGTGATACCAATGGAAAAGCTAAACTTTTGCTAATTATGCAAATTAGGTAATTAGTATGCAAGAGTTTCAACTGAAAAATAATCACGTCTGCCTATCGTCCACAGGCATCTATGATTCAAGCTCAATATATTGTCATAGACACATACACAAATACAGACAGGAGTCAATCATATTATAACCTTATGATATAATACCACATCATAAATGATATTGGGATCTTTAGAAACTAGAAATGGTATTACCTGTCTGTCAATGGTGTGATTACCAAACGATCTGTACATCCCAAGAACTCATTTTGATAAATGAAATCTACATCTGTGATAGACACAATGCAGTGATCTGTTTCCTCTCTGAAGTAGAATCTTGCTTGTTTTAGCCATTCAAAATCATTGGATGATTTGATATGCAGACGAACCTAATGACAGACATAACAAAACTAAAATCATTGCTGTATGGTGTAAAATCATTATCAATTATCATATGAACAACTGTGATATACATTGTTTTACCTGCAATAATATTCTGCATTATTCAATTCACACCAAACAATATATTTTGATTGGGGTAAAAAAAAAATAACGACAGAGCACAACTGTGAACATCACTTTCCCACAACCTTGCCAGTGTTAATCCCTTACATACTTACATAAAAAACTGACATGTTTTCGCCACAGAAGAAGGCCTCCAATATGTCTTGCTTATTTTAGAACCGAATGTGGAATATATCACTAGTATTGCAGGAGAATGTATTGGTGGGATACAACAGAATATATCACTAGTATTGCAGCAGAATGTATTGGTGGGATACAACAGAATATATCACTAGTGTTGCAGCAAAATGTATTGGTAGATACAGCAGAATATATCACTAGTGTTGCAGCAGAATGTATTGGTGGGATACAACAGAATATATCACTAGTATTGCAGCAGAATGTATTGGTGGATACAACAGAATATATCACTAGTGTTGCAGCAAAATGTATTGGTGCGATACAGCAGAATATATCACTAGTGTTGCAGCAAAATGTATTGGTGCGATACAGCAGTATATATCACTAGTATTGCAGCAGAATGTATTGGTGGATACAGCAGAATATATCACTAGTGTTGCAGCAGAATGTATTGGTGGGATACAGCAGAATATATCACTAGTGTTGCAGAAAATGTATTGGTGCAATACAGCAGAATATATCACTTGTGTTGCAGCAGAATGCATTGGTTGATAGAGAATATATCACTAGTGTTGCAGAAAATGTATTGGTGCACTACAGTAGTATATATCACTAGTGTTGCAGCAAAATGTATTGGTGCGATACAGCAGAATATATCACTAGTGTTGCAGCAAATGTATTGGTGCGATACAGCAGTATATACCACTAGCGTTGCAGCAGAGTGTATTGGTGCGATAGAGAATATATCACTAGTGTTGCAGCAAAATGTATTGGTGGGATACAGCAGTATATATCACTAGTGTTGCAGCAGAATTTATTGGTGCGATAGAGAATATATCACTAGTGTTGCAGCAAATGTATTGGTGCAATACAGCAGAATATATCACTAGTGTTGCAGCAAAATGTATTGGTGCGATACAGCAGAATATATCACTAGTGTTGCAGCAGAATGTATTGGTGCAATAGTGCAGAATGTATCACTAGTGTTGCAGCAGAATGTATTGGTGCAATACAGCAGAATATATCACTAGTGTTGCAGCAGAATGTATTGGTGCAATAGTGCAGAATATATCACTAGTGTTGCAGCAAAATGTATTGGTGGATACAGCAGAATGTATCACTAGTGTTGCAGCAAATGTATTGGTGCGATACAGCAGAATATATCACTAGTGTTGCAGCAGAGTGTATTGGTGCGATAGAGAATATATCACTAGTGTTGCAGCAAAATGTATTGGTGGGATACAGCAGTATATATCACTAGTGTTGCAGAAGAATGTATTGGTGCGATAGAGAATATATCACTAGTGTTGCAGCAAATGTATTGGTGCAATACAGCAGAATATACCACTAGTGTTGCAGCAAAATGTATTGGTGCGATACAGCAGAATATATCACTAGTGTTGCAGCAGAATGTATTGGTGCAATAGTGCAGAATATATCACTAGTGTTGCAGCAGAATGTATTGGTGTAATACAGCAGAATATATCACTTGTGTTGCAGCAAAATGTATTGGTGGGATACAGCAGTATATATCACTAGTGTTGCAGCAAATGTATTGGTGGATACAGCAGAATGTATCACTAGTGTTGCAGCAAAATGTATTGGTGGATACAGCAGAATATATCACTAGTGTTGCAGCAAAATGTATTGGTGGATACAGCAGAATGTATCACTAGTGTTGCAGCAAATGTATTGGTGCGATACAGCAGAATATATCACTAGTGTTGCAGCAAATGTATTGGTGCGATACAGCAGTATATATCACTGGTGTTGCAGCAAAATGTATTGGTGCGATACAGCAGAATATATCACTAGTGTTGCAGCAAATGTATTGGTGCGATACAGCAGTATATATCACTAGTGTTGCAGCAAATGTATTGGTGTGATACAGCAGTATATATCACTGGTGTTGCAGCAAAATGTATGGTGCGATACAGCAGAATATATCACTAGTGTTGCAGCAAATGTATTGGTGCGATACAGCAG